TTTCTCCTTTCTCTATCCCCTCTCTCTTTTCTCTATCCCCTCTCTCCTTTCTCTCTCCCCTCTCTCCAATCCCTCCTCTCTCCTCTCTTCCCTATCCCCCCTCTCACTCCTCTCTCCTCTCCTCTATTTCTTCTCTCTTCCTCCTCTCCTCTCTTTCTCTACTCTTTATCTTCTCTTTCTCTCTCTCTCTCTCTCTCTCTCTCTCTCTCTCTCTCTCTCTCTCTCTCTCTCTCTCTCTCGCCGCTCTATCTGCGGCATCTCTGTAGAGTCCACAAACCTAATGTGTCTTTCTTTTATTATGTGAAGAAATAGTCGAGAAATATCGTCCTGAGTTTTTTCAAAATTCACATTTGTTGTCAAATTTAAACTGTCTATTTAGAACCACATTTTGGGCCAACCGTTCTCATCCGAACACATTTCTATTAAAACGTAACCTTGCACATTCTGCATTAGAATGACCAGAAAACAATTCTCACAAAACAACAACTTCAATCAGCTGTGCAATAATAACTGCAAACAATAATCTGACTATCCTTTTTACTTGATTTTTTCCTTCAAAAGGTTATTCTAAATCTTCTGTCGATACAACGTTACAGCAATTGAAATATAATTGAATGCAATTTGTTTATATTAATAGTATTTTGTTAGCAGTTTACATATACACAAGTTTCGTCCTAGATAGTTTGCTACCCGAATAAAGGTTTGCTTACCGATGTTAATAATCTATATTCATGTATACTCACCAAAGGGCCGAGACTCTGGCTGCGTGTGCTTGCTTTTGGCAACGACGCAGGCAGTCAGGGGAGCGGCGGTGGCCGAAATGACGTGGCCCCGGCGCGGCGGAGGCAGAGCGACGGACGGGCAAAGCCGAGTGGGCGGTGAAAGCCATAATCGCGGACAGTGATCAGAATACCGTACAGAATCCATGCGACGACAATGCTGAAGGCCGGAAATGGAGCCACGGCTGGAGAGACGAAATGATGTTGGCGCCCAGGAATACAGAACAAAGGTCAAAATACTACGCTGCAAGAGAACACGGACGGGGACGTTTTTAGTTGTCCAGTTGCTCTACCTGAGTTTGAAATTGTCGGTATTTGAATGGACTGAATTTGCTAATGTTTTATCTTAATTCAAATTCAGATTTTTTTATCGTTTTGTGTTTCTATTCATCTTCTTTTGTTTCTTCCTCTTCCTCTTATTTATTTCTTCGTTTTCTTGTACATTATTTCTTATTACGCTTCTTATTTAGTTTCTTCGTTTTGTGTGATTTCATAGTTATTTTCTAGTCCTTATATAGTTTTCGAGTAACTTCCGTCTGTTTGTACGCGTGTCTGTGTGTTAGTGCGTCTGTCACTCTCGATTAGACCCCTACTCGCCTACCAATCGAAGAATCGTGCGATGTGTCTGGGTCTTCTGATTGGAAACTGATTATTTCTTTCCGGATCGACTCAGGAGTTTCTAAGAAATTTCTCGAAAAACGTGAGTTTTTAGCTACGCGATATAGGAGGCCGTGCGAATCACATTCTACAGCACCACCACATCGGTCGATGCCACTATCAGCTACGTTGACAGCTAAATGTGACGGTAAAGCGGGGACTCCCAGGCGATGAGTGACACAGGTCGCTAAAAAATTGAACCACCTGAGCGCCGCTGTATACGTACGGAGGAGAGATTTTGAAAACAATTTAAAACGTCTAGATCGCCGGCTGCACTAAACTCAGCGAGTCATTGAATAATTATGGGTAACATTGTCTTTAATGAGTTCATCGTCTTTAAGAGATCGTTAATGCTAACTTTAGAAACAATGATGTTCATGTATGCAGTATAGAGAGAAACAGCGGGTATCCGAGAATATAGCACAAGTCGCGATATTGCATTCTTCACAAATAAAGGAATCGACAGTGGAACGAAAATGGCATCCACAGGTGCAAAGCGAATGACGACCTCCACTCGATTGCAGGCCAGGCGGAAAGACGAGTGCTAACGGGGACGGGCGCAGGGGCCTGAACGGACTGGCAAACACAGGTCGGGCGCAAGGGGGAATATTAGGGAGCGGCGGCGCGCCCGCGTGTGCTGATTGCGGACGCGAGGAGACGGCGGGCTGCGCGGGGACAATATTGGCCGCGTGGCCTTCGGCTCGGCCGCGACCGCACCGCTGCGCCGCGCGTGGGGGAGGCTGCGGTTAAGATCCGAACATCAACAGGGAGGCGAGCGGCAGCGGCGGGGCAGATCGAATACAGGCCCGGTTGCGGGGACGAGCGCAGGGCGAGGCACGGAGGGGGAAGGGGGGGCAAGGGCGGGCGGAGGGAGGAGCCGCGGGTGGCGAAGGGCCGCTGCGAGACACAGAGCGGCGCCTCATTCGTCGCTGTCGCTTCTGACGCTCTAATTACACGCCTCTATCCGTCTCGTGCGGCGCCGCCCAGCCCCGCTCCGTTTCGCTGCTCTGCCGCCCCTCCGCGCGTCCGCATTCTGTCCCGTGTCTTTCCCCGTCCTCTTCCCGTTCCGTCGCTGCCTCCCTCATCCGCCACCTCGCGGACCTCCGCGCTCGCTCGATCAGCAACCGCCCCGCTCCGCATCGCTGCCTTCACGCTCGCTGCGCCACACCCCCTACCTTCGGTTTCATCGCCATAGCGCCCTCCATCGCTCGCTTCGCCATCACACTACGCTCTCGTTGCCCCGCCACGCCCCCCTCCCTTAGCTCTCTCCACCTCCATCCTCGATCACTTGCGCCACAGCATCACCTATTGCTCAACAGCATCACCACTTGCTCCACAGCATCACCACTTGCTCAACA